GGGGGGGGGGGGGGACAGGCGACCCCAGCATGTATGCGCCATCAATTGAGGATTGTCTCCACTTGAGGACAGCGCCCAAGCGCGCTGGCTGCCCTCTCCTCCGTCCCCTTCACGGGAGATGGTCGCTGGGAATCGGCCGAGGCGTGCCGGGGTGACTGGCGGAAAAAAGAGCGCGGGGCCACCCGACCTTTCGTGTGCGCCTAGCGTGGGTTCCGGGCGAGGGTGGTCCCACCCCTGTTCTGGGGACTGGGGCGGGGAAACCGGCCGGTCATGGGTCCGCCCTCGGGGCCGGCGGGAAGTGCACAGGGGGGGGGGGCGGGGGCGGATGCGCGCTGCCCAGCAGGGCGCACCAGGGGGCGGACAGCAGGCTGGCGGCTGTCTTCGGGACGCCCGCTTCCGGGCGGTGGTCGCACGGGTCCGTGGGTGATAAACAACATAACGGCCCAGGGCTCGTCCGCTCTAGGGTTGACCATGCGTGTCCCCTCTTCGAGCCGTGCTCTGCCTCCCGGGGTGCGAGCCCCGCCGAGGAGGGTTGCTTAGGGGGGGGGGCACCGGCGAGGGGAGGCACCCGACTTCGTCTGCTGGGCGGATGAGACACGGCCTGCGAAATATGGGCGTGAGTGTGTGTGCGAAAAGACCCGCCAGCCCGCCGGACCCCGGGGTTCGGCATGCAAGCGCCCCAAGTTCACGGGGCGGTAATGAGCGCGGGCCGCGCGGGCGCCCCTTTAAAAAATGCGCATGGCCTGAGGGGGGACGAGCAGCTGCCGCTGTCGCCCTCCCGGGCGGGGGGGGGGGAAGACGGGGAAAGAGAGGCGGCAAAGACTCTCTCTCTCGCAGGGGGAGGACGTGCGATCGTGTACCGAGATATGGGAGGGGGTGTCCGGGGGGGGGGTGCGAAAAGCGCACCCACTTGTGCTCCAGGCCTGTGCGGCTCGGCTGGCGAGCCGGGAAATGGCTCAAAATCGCCTATTCCGTCCCCCCCCCCCGGTAGTCATGCGGAATGGGGGCCGGCCCCGGGGGAGGGTGACAGTGCGGCGGAGGGGGAGGGGGGGATTTGGAACGTGCACAAAAGGAGCCCAAATCCAGCCCGAGGCCGAGCTTTGTCGAATGAATGCCAGGAAAATCGGGCTATTGATATTTCGCGGCCACATTGAGAGCGGGCGAATACCAGCTCGGACGGTCTTTTCACCCGACAACAGGCCGGGCGGAGAGAGGGGCCCCCGGGGGAGCGGACGTCGTGAATGTGCCGGCGAGGGGGGGGGGGGGGAGACGGGCCTAGATAGCCTGGACACTGTGATCTTTTCGGGGCCCAGTAAGCGTGGGCGATCCTCCTCCCTCGTGGGCTGGCGCTCTTCCACGAGCAGCTGGCGGTCGGCGGGCGAGGGAGAGCGGGCCACGCGCGGGGGCCGCCCCGTAGCATGGCTTGAGTTCCGGTCTTTTTTATGCGGCCCCAGAAATGCTCCTCCTGCGCCGGGCTCCCCGGATGGCCGTGGCGTCTGTGACCCTTGTGTGTGGGAGGGGGGGATGTAGGAGCGCAGGTATGCGTTCCGGCGTCAGTTGTGTCCGGTCATCCAGGCTCCGAAAAAGGCCCCGGTGGCCGGCCGGGTGCGCGCGGCCGGGAGCCGGGGCCGGGGCCTGGCCGGGGCTTTTCCGTCTCCGGGAACAATAACAACCCCGTTCCCCCCCCCCCCCCTCTCCCCGCGGGCGGGATGCCGGAAGGGGGGGGGGAATTCCCGCCCAGCGCCGTCTGGCGGCGGGGGGAGCACGGGGGGCGGGGGGCGCGGCTGGGGCGGGGGCGGGGGCCGGCGTGTCGGTCGGGCGGTCCGGTCCCGGGGCGCGGAGTCTGCCGGGCCTGTTCCCTTGGTCGGAGGCCCCCGGGCCCCTCAGGTTGCCGCCACCTGCCCTGCCCTCGCCGCCCGGGCAAGGCACCCCCCCCCCCTCTCCCCCCCGGACGGCGCCCGTCTCGTCGGGCCTCTGTGCAGGCCCCGCTCCCGTCTTGGCCGCTCTCACGCCCGGGTACGCCCCCCCTCTTTCCGGTCGAGTGGTTTGTTTACTCCCAGACTGCGGCAACCGACGGGTCCGTCTGGTGGGCGCGCGTGCGCGCGCCCGTGCGCCTGGTGCACGGTCCTCGCCCGCGCACCGGCCTGGACTTATTAGGCCCCGTCGTGGGGGCTCTTCCGCTGGGGAGGCCGACATCGACACTTTGTGTTGTACTGTGCGTCTCCTTTTGCCCCGGTCCTCCCCTCCCCCTTCCCTCTCTCCCTGCCGCGCCCCCCCCCTCCCCCGCTA